AATTATGGTTTGTAAATGGAACAGAATGGGTCCATTTTGAGCATTCTGGCTTTGACTCTATATTGAAAAATAGCCTACTAAAAGTTGCAATTGATTCTCTGATACACACTCTTCTCAATTTGAGCTACAACTCGTATCTTGAATCAACCAAGAATTTACGTGTGTTTAATTTTAAACGCCGTTTATTCTCGAAGATGCTTACTTAATTAACTTTATTAACAGCTTAAGGTAATATTTAGAATGGCTTAGGAGGGGAGATTGAATTCAGAATTGACTCGGCCGTGGAAGAGTTTCAGAAAAGGAAAGCCAAATGAATAGAGAATGGAAGGCAAACGCTCTTGAAACGAACCGTGTAAAGGAAAGTGGGGTTTCCTCGTATATTATTCAGTAGACGCGTCTTTTTATTTCTTCGTTAGATTCTTTTTATGATGATACGTTAGTACCCTCTTGCGGAAGGTAATGTTGGTCTAAATTGATGTATTTTGGTGTACTGACCTTCTGGTTTGAGAGAAATGGAAGTCATGGGGTCAGGAGATTTTTGAGGAGGACAGGCTAGTCTAGGCTCCCAAACAAAGGAACAAGCATCTCGCTTTCTCTTGTGGAACACTCCAACAGTATCTCACATCCACACACACCTATGGAACGTTTGGCTAGCTAGGCGGTAATCTAAAAGCAATGTACAACCCGACATTCTTCTCTCAAAGCTACAATTTTACTTCTTCGATCCAACTAGCACAATGCTCTTTGAATCCCACCTAACTGATAGACAGCAATTCGTGGAATACAATGGCTGTAATCAGCCCTATTTTCCACGATGTTCAACAAGGTTCTGTCCTCGGGCCTCTGTTATCATTATTGTATGTAAAAATTGTCTTTCCAACAACATTGATAACAAGCTAACTCTATACGCCGATGACACCACTCTCGTTTCGACTCACGATTCTCTTACCATCTTGGATAATGTGACATTTTATTGTAAGTCCGACGTTCTTGCTTGATTTGCAATCAATAGGCTAACACCGTAAATTCAAACAAAACTCAATCCATGACGATTACTCTACGGAATCATGATGTTGGGAATAACCATGAGGAGACAGTTAAATTTCTTAGTATATACATAAATGCCACTTTAAACTGGGATGGACACATTAATTATGTAAACAAATCATTAAAAAAATATTCGTAATCCTAAAAATTCTGTACCCCAGAAAATTTTGTATTCATAGTAAAAGTGTTTGCTCTACAGAGGTGTGTTAGGTACATATCAAGCCTGAAGTACAGAGAAGAATTTATAAAGCTAAGGATGATGACTTTGTCTTGTCTTGTGCTTACATCGAATACTGCCTCATTTATGTCAAAATTAGAGTCAATTGCGTGAGAGTACACGCATATACAATCCACCAAGGAATTCATTCATACGATACTCAATAAGCAAACTAAACCTAAACCATCTCAGAATCACTAAAACTAAAAAAGGCATTAACTTTCTTGGCTTGAAACTTTTCATTGGCTTACCTCATCAGACTAGAGTTCTAGATATTGACGATTTTAATGCTCTTATGAAGAGTATCTTTTTTTATCAACAGATTTCTTCGACCTCAATGAATTTTCTGTCTTACGACTTTTCGGTTTTGACATAGCTAACCTATTTTTTCTTGGCTACCATTCTAGTCATCATATTTTGCCTTTGTTTGTCTTGTTTATAATGTCGTATTGTGTGCTATTTTATTCTCTCTCAGAGTATATATCTTTATATTTTGCTCTGACGTGTGTAAGCAGGTCACGTGCATTAATACCAATGAATTATTAATATTATTGTTGATAAGTGTGAATTTCGAAAAGTTTTAGTGGATATTGTGCAGCGATTCGAGTAAACAACACATCTCACAAGGGTATAGTTCAGTAAAAGGCAAGACAAACATTCTCTGAGATAGAAAAAGACCTCCAGACAAGCTAGGAAAGTCAGGCAAGAGCGTTTTCAGTAATTTCTCTGGAGAATAGTAATTATGATTGTTGAACCTTTTCCTGGTCAAGACACGTCCATATCATATCAAGGTTGACGATGATTTGCTTTGCGGGCGATATTGCGTTGAGGAGGAGGCCTCCGGCCACATTTTTTGTCGCTCTTATGCGCAGTTCAGTACCTCTTTTGGCAAAGATTAAAGCAAACCTGAATGTAAAAATGTTGTGAATATAAAAACGACTCTTTGTCTTTGTGTGTACGTTCACGGACAGCACTACGAATTTCCAGTCGCGTATAATTAGCTTTAGCTAGATTTGCAAGCGCTGGCCGATGATAAATTGCAAAAGCAAACCCTTCGAGCTATGTTGCCTCTGACATGGCGTGAAAACGCCGCTGTGCTTTTTGAATATTCAATTCGAACATATGCTTGATGATCATTTTCAGTTTCGCTTAAGCGTTGGATTCCAAACGAGGGGCAACACGAGTATCCCGAATTTCCTATTTTTTATCCGAAAGATTATCGCCAGAATGCCATATGCATGTTTTACTTATTTTGATTTATTTTATTAATTCTATTAACTCTATTAAGTCTACTAATTCTTATAAATTCTATAAATTCTATAAATCTATTAATTCTATTAATTCTATTAATCTATTAATTCTATTAATTCTATGAATTCTATTATTCTATTATTCAATTATTCATTAATTCTATTAATCTAGTACTACTCCTATTACTACTCCTATTAATCCTATTATTCTATTAAGTCTATTAATCTATTAATTCATTAATTCATTAATTCTATTAATTCTATTATTCTAATTCTATTAATTCTATTAATTCTATTAATTCTATTATTCTATTAATTCTATTAATTCTATTAATTTATTAATTCTATTAATTCTATTAATTCTATTAATTCTATTAATTCTATTAATTCTATTAATTCTATTAATTCTATTAATTCTATTAATTCTATTAATTCTATTAATTCTATTAATTCTATTAATTCTATTAATTCTATTAATTCTATTAATTCTATTAATTCTATTAATTCTATTAATTCTAATTCTATCTATTAATTCTATTAATCTATAATTCTATTAATTCTATTAATTCTATTAAGTCTATTAATTCTATTAATTCTATTAATTCTATTAATTCTATTAATTCTATTAATTCTATTAATTCTATTAATTCTATTAATTCTATAATTCTATTAATTCTATTAATTCTATAATTCTATTAATTCTATTAATTCTATTAATTCTATTAATTCTATTAATTCTATTAATTCTATTAATTCTATTAATTCTATTAATTCTATTAATTCTATTAATTCTATTAATTCTATTAATTCTATTAATTCTATTAATTCTATTAATTCTATTAATTCTATTAATTCTATTAATTCTATTAATTCTATTAATTCTATTAATTCTATTAATTCTATTAATTCTATTAATTCTATTAATTCTATTAATTCTATTAATTCTATTAATTCTATTAATTCTATAATTCTATTAATTCTATTAATTCTATTAATTCTATTAATTCTATTAATTCTATTAATTCTATTAATCTATTAATTCTATTAATTCTATTAATTCTATTAATCTATTAATTCTATTAATTCTATTTTCATTAATTCTATTAATTCTATTAATTCTATTAATTCTATTAATTCTATTAATTCTATTAATTCTATTAATTCTATTAATTCTATTAATTCTATTAATTCTATTAATTCTATTAATTTTATTAATTCTATTAATTCTATTAATTCTATTAATACTATTAATTCTATTAATTCTATAATCTACTAATTCTATTAATTCTATTAATCTATTATCTCTATTAATTCTATTAATTCTATTAATTCTATTAATTCTATTAATTCTATTAATTCTATTAATTCTATTAATTCTATTAATTCTATTAATTCTATTAATTCTATTATTCTATTAATTCTATTAATTCAATTAATTCTATTAATTCTATTATCTATTAATTCTATTAATTCTATTAATTCTATTAATTCTATTAATTCTATTAATTCTATAATTCTAAATTCTATTAATTCTATTAATTCGATTTCGATTAATTAGATTAATTCGATTAATTCGATTAATTCGATTAATTCGATTAATTCGATTATTTCGATTAATTCGATTAATTCGATTAATTCGATTAATTCGATTAATTCGATTAATTCGATTAATTCGATTAATTCGATTAATTCGATTAATTCGATTAATTCGATTAATTCGATTAATTCGATTAATTCGATTAATTCGATTAATTCGATTAATTCGATTAATTCGATTAATTCGATTAATTCGATTAATTCGATTAATTCGATTAATTCGATTAATTCGATTAATTCGATTAATTCGATTAATTCGATTAATTCGATTAATTCGATTAATTCGATTAATTCGATTAATTCGATTAATTCGATTAATTCGATTAATTCTATTAATTCTATTAATTCAATTGATTCAATTAATTCTATTAATTCTATTAATTATTAATTCTATTAATTCTATTAATTCTATTAATTCTATTAATTCTATTAATTCTATTAATTCTATTAATTCTATTGATTCTATTGATTCTATTGATTCTATTAATTCTATTAATTCTATTAATTCAATTAATCCTATTAATTCTATTAATTCTATTAATTCTATTAATTCTATTAATTCTATCAATTCTATCTATTAATTCTATTAATTCTATTAATTCTATTAATTCTATTAATTCTATTAATTCTATTAAGTCTATTAATTCTATTAATTCTATTAATTCTATAATTCTATTAATTCTATTAATTCTATTATTCTATTAATTCTATTAATTCTATTAATTCTATTAATTCTATTAATTCTATTAATTCTATTATTTTATTAATTCTATTAATTCTATTAATTCCATTAATTCTATTAATTCTATTAATTCTATTAATTCTATTAATTCTATTAATTCTATTAATTCTATTAATTCTATTAATTCTATTAATTCTATTAATTCTACTAATTCTATTAATTCTATCAATTCTATCAATTCTATCAATTCTATCAGTTCTATTAATTCTATTAATTCTATTAGTTCCATTAATTCTATTAATTCTATTAATTCTATTAATTCTATTAATTCTATTAATTCTATTAATTCTATTAATTCTACTAATTCTATTAATTCTATTAATTCTATTAATTCTATTAATTCCATTAATTCTATTTATTCTATTTATTCTATTAATTCTATTGATTCTATTGATTCTATTGATTCTATTGATTCTATTAATCCTATTAATTCTATTAATTCCGTTAATTCCTTTAATTCCGTTAATTCCGTTAATTTCGTTAATTCTATTAATTCCGTTAATTCCGTTTATTCTGTTAATTCTGTTAATTCTATTATTATAATATATTGTATTTATTTATTTATTTCATTCGTTCCATTCGTTTCATTCGTTTCGTTCGTTTCGTTCGTTTCGTTCGTTTCGTTCGTTTCGTTCGTTTCGTAGGTTTCGTTCGTTTCGTTCGTTCGTTCGTTCGTTCGTTTCGTTCGTTTCGTTCGTTTCGTTCGTTTCGTTCGTTTCGTTCGTTTCGTTCGTTTCGTTCGTTTCGTTCGTTTCGTTCGTTTCGTTCGTTTCGTTCGTTTCGTTCGTTTCGTTCGTTTCGTTCGTTTCGTTCGTTTCGTTCGTTTCGTTCGTTTCGTTCGTTTCGTTCGTTTCGTTCGTTTCGTTCGTTTCGTTCGTTTCGTTCGTTTCGTTCGTTTCGTTTCGTTCGTTCGTTCGTTTCGTTCGTTTCGTTCGTTTCGTTCGTTTCGTTCGTTTCGTTCGTTTCGTTCGTTTCGTTTCGTTTCGTTCGTTTCGTTCGTTTCGTTCGTTCGTTCGTTTCGTCGTTCGTTCGTTTCGTTCGTTTCGTTCGTTTCGTTCGTTTCGTTCGTTTCGTTCGTCGTTCGTTTCGTTCGTTCGTTTCGTTCGTTTCGTTCGTTTCGTTCGTTTCGTTCGTTTCGTTCGTTTCGTTCGTTCGTTCGTTTCGTCGTTTCGTTCGTTTCGTTCGTTTCGTTCGTTTCGTTCGTTTCGTTCGTTTTCGTTCGTTTCGTTCGTTTCGTTCGTTTCGTTCGTTTCGTTCGTTTCGTTCGTTTCGTTCGTTTCGTTCGTTTCGTTCGTTTCGTTCGTTTCGTTCGTTTCGTTCGTTTCGTTCGTTTCGTTCGTTTCGTTCGTTTCGTTCGTTTCGTTCGTTTCGTTCGTTCGTCGTTTCGTTCGTTTCGTTCGTTTCGTTCGTTTCGTTCGTTTCGTTCGTTTCGTTCGTTTCGTTCGTTCGTTCGTTTCGTTCGTTTCGTTCGTTTCGTTCGTTTCGTTCGTTTCGTTCGTTTCGTTCGTTTCGTTCGTTTCGTCGTTTCGTTCGTTCGTTCGTTTCGTTCGTTTCGTTCGTTTCGTTCGTTTCGTTCGTTTCGTTCGTTTCGTTCGTTCGTTCGTTTCGTTCGTTTCGTTCGTTTCGTTCGTTTCGTTCGTTTCGTTCGTTTCGTTCGTTTCGTTCGTTTCGTTCGTTTCGTTCGTTTCGTTCGTTTCGTTCGTTTCGTTCGTTTCGTTCGTTCGTCGTTCGTTCGTTTCGTTCGTTTCGTTCGTTTCGTTCGTTTCGTTCGTTTCGTTCGTTTCGTTCGTTTCGTTCGTTTCGTTCGTTTCGTTCGTTTCGTTCGTTCGTTCGTTTCGTTCGTTTCGTTTCGTTCGTTTCGTTCGTTTCGTTCGTTTCGTTCGTTTCGTTCGTTTCGTTTCGTTTCGTTCGTTTCGTTCGTTTCGTTCGTTTCGTTCGTTTCGTTCGTTTCGTTCGTTTCGTTCGTTTCGTTCGTTTCGTTCGTTTCGTTCGTTTCGTTCGTTTCGTTCGTTCGTTCGTTTCGTTCGTTTCGTTCGTTTCGTTCGTTTCGTTCGTTTCGTTCGTTTCGTTCGTTCGTTCGTTCGTTCGTTTCGTTCGTTTCGTTCGTTCGTTCGTTTCGTTCGTTTCGTTCGTTCGTTCGTTTCGTTCGTTTCGTTCGTTTCGTTCGTTTCGTTCGTTTCGTTCGTTGTCGTTCGTTTCGTTCGTTTCGTTCGTTTCGTTCGTTTCGTTCGTTTCGTTCGTTTCGTTCGTTTCGTTCGTTTCGTTCGTTTCGTTCGTTTCGTTCGTTTCGTTCGTTTCGTTCGTTTCGTTCGTTTCGTTCGTTTAGTTCGTTCGTTCGTTCGTTCGTTTCGTTCGTTTCGTTCGTTTCGTTCGTTTCGTTCGTTTCGTTCGTTTCGTTCGTTTCGTTCGTTTCGTTCGTTTCGTTCGTTTCGTTCGTTTCGTTCGTTTCGTTCGTTTCGTTCGTTTCGTTCGTTTCGTTCGTTCGTTCGTTTCGTTCGTTTCGTTCGTTTCGTTCGTTTCGTTCGTTTCGTTCGTTTTCGTTCGTTTCGTTCGTTTCGTTCGTTTCGTTTTATTCGTTTAGTTCGTTTTATTCGTTTTATTCGTTTATTCGTTTTATTCGTTTTATTCGTTTTATTCGTTTTATTCGTTTTATTCGTTTTATTCGTTTTATTCGTTTTATTCGTTTTATTCGTTTTATTCGTTTTATTCGTTTTATTCGTTTTATTCGTTTTATTCGTTTTATTCGTTTTATTCGTTTTATTCGTTTTATTCGTTTTATTTTATTCGTTTTATTCGTTTTATTCGTTTTATTCGTTTTATTCGTTTTATTCGTTTTATTCGTTTTATTCGTTTTATTCGTTTTATTCGTTTTATTCGTTTTATTCGTTTTATTCGTTTTATTCGTTTTATTCGTTTTATTCGTTTTATTCGTTTTATTCGTTTTATTCGTTTTATTCGTTTTATTCGTTTTATTCGTTTTATTCGTTTTATTCGTTTTATTCGTTTTATTCGTTTTATTCGTTTTATTCGTTTTATTCGTTTTATTCGTTTTATTCGTTTTATTCGTTTTATTCGTTTTATTCGTTTTATTCGTTTTATTCGTTTTATTCGTTTATTCGTTTTATTCGTTTTATTCGTTTTATTCGTTTTATTCGTTTTATTCGTTTTATTCGTTTTATTCGTTTTATTCGTTTATTCGTTTTATTCGTTTTATTCGTTTTATTCGTTTTATTCGTTTATTCGTTTTATTCGTTTTATTCGTTTATTCGTTTTATTCGTTTTATTCGTTTTATTCGTTTATTCGTTTTATTCGTTTATTCGTTATTCGTTTATTCGTTTTATTCGTTTTATTCGTTTTATTCGTTTTATTCGTTTTATTCGTTTTATTCGTTTTATTCGTTTTATTCGTTTTATTCGTTTTATTCGTTTTATTCGTTTTATTCGTTTTATTCGTTTTATTCGTTTTATTCGTTTTATTCGTTTTATTCGTTTTATTCGTTTTATTCGTTTTATTCGTTTTATTCGTTTTATTCGTTTTATTCGTTTTATTCGTTTTATTCGTTTTATTCGTTTTATTCGTTTTATTCGTTTTATTCGTTTTATTCGTTTTATTCGTTTTATTCGTTTATTCGTTTTATTCGTTTTATTCGTTTTATTCGTTTTATCGTTATTCGTTTTATTCGTTTTATTCGTTTATTCGTTTATTCGTTTTATTCGTTTTATTCGTTTTATTCGTTTTATTCGTTTTATTCGTTTTATCCGTTTTATTCGTTTTATTATATATTTATTATATATTTATTATATATTTATTATATATTTATTATATATTTATTATATATTTATTATATATTTTTTATATATTTACTACATATTTATTATATATTTATTGTGTTTATTGTATTTACTTTGTTTATCTATTTAACCAACGGGTTTCTACCCTACAAATACAAAGCAGTTTCGATTTATAGAATTACATTGTGATGTTATCATTTCGTGTAAACTAACAGAAGTTCAAAATATATCTAAGCTAGATATATATCTATTACCTAACCTAAAAAGACGAGAAACCATAATTTGTTTGATGAATGGGGACAAAGAATGTATCAGTATATCGCGTTCTTCTATCATTCACATTAAGTGAATTTATCTTTAACGTTTGAGGCAAACCAACGTGATAGATCCTTTTGTGTAAGAAAAGTAAGTCAGATTCTAGCCTGCATCGCTCAAGAGAAGTCATAATCGTGTAGAGTCTCAGTATAACTATACTCCTCGCTAATAAAACTCATTTTGTATCCATGGTTCTCAATTTTTTTTCACACGCTCTAATCGGTTAATCTGTGAGTTGGGGACCAGGGACCAGAAAGAAGACAAAGCACAATACAAAGTTTTGAAAGAAAAAGGTGACAGGTCAACACAATGACAATTTTACTTAAAAAAATTCTAGTTTCTGTCCTGGCAAACGGCAGAATTCTGATCTTACTAGATAATAGAAAGATCCGCTCTTCCATTCAACCGAAAATAAATACAATAATGTATTACCTGGAAGAAACAAACTTGATCCAAAAAGAGTTGAAGAAAAACAAATGACAAAATATTATATACACCATAGAAATTGAGTTAAATTTTGTATATTTCAATACAGTCATAAGCCAATAGAAAACGCTTTATTGTTTTTTTTAATGAATTCATTGACAAACTCCTGTATGGAATCGGTACCTTATTGAAAGGCCGTGCGACATTGTAAGAAAAAGAGACCTTAAAAACGATATACAGAATTTAGGAAAAGAAACTAAATATCTGTAACCCAGGGTGAGAGTGTGTTCTACAGATAAGCTGAAGCTTGTTTGGTGATAATCTTGACAAATTTAATGCAGGATGCAAATTTCATTCGTAACAGCTGTTGTAGGCTGGAGTGTCTTCATCGCGTTTACTTAAACATGGCATAAGTATCATGTGACAACACTAAAGTCTCCATCAGAATTTTCTTGCTGTTAGCTTTGGTCTGTGACCATAGTATAGATTGTTGCTTTTGAGAAGTGATGCAACTTGGGTGCTTTTTTAGTATTAAAGCAAATCTTTTTAGTGATGGACAGCTACGGACAGCAATGATATGCAACGGTTAGCCACGAATAGTTACTAAACAGGCAGCTGCTTGTCACCGGACAGCAAGTTATCTATTATGCGTTTTATTGCCTTTAAGGTGTATGTGCCAGTGTTAAACAAGATTCC